CGGACAATTTTATTTTGAATCAAATTCTGTCATTAATGGGACTGACTGTACACCTCTTTATACAATGGCTGAATTTGACCAAGAAGCTTCAATGAGCTCTAAGCACCCTTAAGGTACATCTAGACTGCAGTGCAATTTCAGAATATGTCCAGTATCCTGAAATAGTGTTTTCCGCATCTTTATAGCATGCCCATTATTTCGAAATGCTATGGAAATAACGGGCGTGCTGTTCTGACATCCTGGTAAACCTCGTTCCATGAGGATTAAGGGACTTGTTGCAACAGCATTCTGTTTCGAAATTTGGTGCTGTGTAGACAGCGCCAAATTTTGAAATAGACTATCTCAGATTGCATAGTTTATTTCGAGCTAGTGCCGCAGTGTAGACGCACCCTTAGAGACATAGTTGTGTATCAGGGTGTGTCTAGACTACAGGGTTTTGTCGACAAAAGTGGACTTTTGTCAACAAAACTAAACCTGCGTCTACACTACTGCTGAGTTCTGTCGACATAACGTCGACAGAACTCAGCAGTTTTGTCGACGCTGGTAAGCCTCATTTTACGAGGAATAACGCCTTTTGTCGACAGTTCTGTCGACAGAAGGCATTATTGCATCTAAACTGTCCTTTGCGTCCACACTGTTATGTCAACAAAGCAGCTTGCTTTGTCGACAGAATTGAATGTAGTCTAGACGCTCTTTGTCGACAGAAGCTTTGTCGACAGTATCTGTCGACAAAACTTCTGTCGACAAAACCCTATAGTCTAGACGTACCCTCAGATCCAAGAGTTGTTCTCTCTAGTCTTTTTTGCAAATAGGGTTCAGACTGTATCTACATTGCTGGTGGGAAATGAAGGCAGTTGAGGATTAGAGAGCTCTTTAGACTAAACTTCTGAACAGTTAGATTCTCCTCTTTTACTGAAACTACTGGTTGGCCAAATCAGTTGTTTTCTTATTAAACATAGGCACATTTGTATGCCATCTTCTATCTGTAATTCAGAAATTAAATGCAAATGTATTGCACTCAATTTAACCTTTTTTCTAGTTTGCTCCGTTTTCTTTGTACAGGTTGCTCCTCTAAAATCCAAGATTCTCTGGTCCAGCAACATGCATGGTCTGGCATGACCACAGATGTTCCAGGACCAGAGAGTTCCATCACGCTGCAGGGAGTGGGGACCTGGGAACCCAACCCATGGCTCATTTGGGCTGTAAGGGAGGGCAGCTCAGCTGAGCTGCTGAGGGCGGGTTGGAAACTGGTACGTGGCTCAGCTGGGCTGCAAAGGGGGGGCCAGGGAGCTGACACGCAGTTCAGCTGGGCTGTGGGAGGAGATTCATGGCTCACCTGGCTTGCAGGAGTGGTCCAGGAGCCAGCGAGCGGCTCATCTGGACTGCTGGGTGGGGGCAGGGGTGGGGCAGGAAGTTGGTGCACAGCTCAGTTGGGCTGCGGGAGAGCACCAGGAGTAGGGATGTAAGCGATTAATTGACTAGTTGATTACCTGATAAGCAAAAGCTTATCAGCTAGTTGACACACTAGTCAACTAGTCACTTCCCCCCCACTTGCTGCCTCTATCAGAACGAGGCAGCAGAGGGTGGGGGAGAGAGCAGGGGATGCTGGGGGGAGACAGCTTAAAAGCCAGTTCCTCCCAGTTCCAGGTCTGTGGGAGGGGGCAGGGATGCAGGAGTGGTGTTTCAGTCTTGGAAATGTGCAAGAATCCTGGCTGGGGCTCTTGCATGTTTCAAAGGCAGAACGCCACGTGCACTTCTGCCTTTGAAATGTAGCAACAGCCCAGGGGGCTCTTGCTACATTTCAAAGTGGAAGTGCCCTGATCGACTAATCGAATAGTCGATCAATTAGTTGATTAATCTAATTTTAATATCCCTAACCAAGAGCTGGCACACACCTCAGCTTGGGATGTGCGGAGAGCCAGGAAGCGGGGAGAGAGGTGTCAGCGGGGCCCTGAGATGACCTCCCGTGGTGTCATGGTCATGACACCTGGTCTGGAAAAATCCCTCAACCAGGACCACTCAGGTCCTGAGGGTGCCGGACCAGGGAGGTCTAACCTGTACCAAATCTTGCACAATATGCTGCTCTCTTGACAGTTGTTTCCTACGTCTCTGGTTAACCCCTTTCTCCTGTTTTTGTAATGTAGATGTTACTGAGATGAATGTAGATGGTATCACTTTTCCTTTAACTCCCGTTCCTATATCGCACACCTCCCCACGGGTACCTTAGCAGAGGATTAGCTTGGTTGTCCATTAGCTGCTTTATTACGTATCATACGTCTGTTTTCTAGAATAGTTTCAAGTCCTCTAGTTTCACAAATTTGAGTCTCTTTGATGGTACCATTATAAGTATTTTACCTTTTAACATTGACATTTCTTAATTTGCATGACTATTTTGCTTATTCAGATTGTCTACATTGATATGTTAAACACAATAGTTTTTATAATGTTACCATTCTGATTATTTTCAAGATGTCACAACATATTTTTCCAGCATACCATCCTTTCTGCCACCCAAAATTATGTAGTTTAGTCTTTTCAAAGCAGGTTTGTCATTGGTCTGTATATATTCCCTTAAGATTGTCTGAGTAGCAAAATCAACTCAGCAAGGAGTTACCATCCAGGAAATCTAGTTAATTGAATACTATGATCAGTTGGTGTCACCATATCAGCTGGCCAGACATGAAATCTGGAAACCATTTGTCTAAGAAAAAAGGATTTGGAATTCTGGTGTATTTCACTATTAAGAGTTAATTGTCAGATTAGTCATCATTCCAGCAGTTTTTATTTTTGCTCTTAACTTTTTTTATTCCCAGTTGGTTCATTAGGTAGCTCAATTTAGGGAGGGGGAAATGTAGTACTTTAAAATCTGTTTTGTTTTCAACAGTGCCCTTAAAGATAGCCGTTTCCCCCCAATGACGAGGGATGAGCTGCCACGGCTTTTCTGCTCAGTGTCTCTACTCACTAATTTTGAAGATGTGTGTGATTACTTGGACTGGGAGGTAAGGATTCCAGATCTTTTTAATGAAAATGGCCTTCATACCGGTATCCTCTACTTCCTCCCAATGTAATAAAATAACTGAAATTTTGGACTATTGAGTGTAGTTATCCTGTTATCTTAGTTGTTGTTTATACACAGAAGATTACACATCTCTGGTGTCTCCTGAAAGATGTGGTGTTAAGTTCTTAGGGTATAAAAACTATAAAGTGTTACTGAGCCATTTTCATGCCCATGAATGAGCAGAGCAGTGTTCTGCAAAGACACATGAACAAGACACCAGTGATGCATGGTTTTGTTTTTAAGAGTCAGTTCTGCACCATTAAAATAGATATAGTCCAAAAATACATACTCTGTTTTTTGTATCAAAACTTAACTGGTATATAGTAGAGGTGTGTCTAGACTACATCCCTCTTTCAACAGAGGGATGTAAATTAGACACTTCAAAATTGCAAATTAAGCCGGGATTTAAATATCCCGTGCTTCATTTGCATTATCATGTAATGGCACTCTTTTGAAAAAGCGCTATTTTGAAATTGAAACCACAGTCTAGACACGGTTCTTTCGAAAATGGGGCGCTTTTTCAAAAGATCCTGTAAGCCTCATTTTTTGAGGTTGAAACCACAGTCTAGACCGAGGTTTCAATTTCGAAAGAGTGCTTTTTTGAAAGAGCACCATTACATGATTATGCAAATGAAGCACGGGTTATTTAAATCCCAGCTTCATTTGCAATTTCAAAGTGTCTAATTTACGTCCCTCTGTCGAAAGAGGAATGTAGTCTAGACACACCCTAGGTAGAGAGGAGACACAGTTGTAGTTCATCATTCTGCTAGAACAAGATAAGTCTCTAGAAAGAGGCTGTGCCAGACAATATACTGATACTACGTTTGACCGTAAGCTGCAGGAATTACACAGTACACTCATTGCAAAAAAAAAAAAAAAGTGTCACCCCACACAGCTGACTCATTTAGAAATAGGAATAAGCATGCATGGCTAAAGCCAAATAATACTTTATCTAGTGAAAATGGTGCAAGCTGGACACTACTAAACCTGTCCCCTCTAACCTCTTGAAAACAATAAGAACCAAATATACCATTTATTTTTCAGGTTAATATGTATGCTGTAAAGAATAGCACTCACTTATACTTGTGCTTTAAGGGGAAACTGCACAAGTTGTCTTGGCACAACAGCACGAAAACTCACAATTCAAGATACAATTGCTGTTATGTTTAAATCTCTTTTTCATTACAATGTATATTTCTCTGTGTGTGACAGTTTTACTGAAAATTGGTTAAATATGAAAATAATGGACATCTTCTAGTCCAGTACAAGGGAGAACAAATTCCACTATCTTGTTTTAATAATGGCTTAATACACATAAAAGCTTTAATGCTTACAGATCTTTTTTAAAAATTGAGAACAGTAATGATTTGCTACTGGCTGTATGTGCAGGTTGAAAATTGGAGTATAGTCTCCAAAATTGGGTGCTCCAAAATTGGGTGCTCATACATGGCCTCATTTTCATTGGGGTGACTGTTTCCAGCATGTACCTCAGAAGTGCCAATTGTGCCATAATTGAAAGCTTCAGTATAATGCATTTCACGGTTAATTCATAGTGACAATAGCTTCATGTCTTCTGCACTGCTGAGCAAAATGGGTACAAGTTTCCTTTGAAGAATGATCAGTGTTTTCACCATAAACACCATTTTTCATTTTTTATATCTTGTCTGTCAAAAACTTACTCTGGATAAAGCTTGTCCTAAACCAGGAACAGTTTTTTCTTTCTAGACAATCTAATTTAATGTCTGAGTTATAGAAGTACAATATATATTTGGATCACAATTTTTCAATCATTAATAACTACAGTGGCTTTTTAAATGAAAGTTTACAGGCCAACAGTTAATCAATTTAGTAAATAATTTAAACTGGTTAAGATTTTGTCTAATCTGCTTGCTATAGTATTTGATGCTCAAATTAGTAGTATTAAAGATTTAATAACTCAGTCATTTAAATTATTAACTCTTGAATGGACTGTAGATATGTTCAGAAATTATTTTTCATAATGTTTTAAATTCACACTAATATTTTCTTGATTTCATGCTATAGTCTAGTACCAGTACAGCATAATAACCATTACCTTCCCAACTTGAAATAAGCAAAAAGCAATTTAGAATGACCAAAATAGATATTCATTTTAAGAGAGGGGCTTCAACCAAAACCCCAGCTCAGAACTCCCATCAAACTTTGGAAGAATTTCAATCTGAACTTTGTGCTTTATACCCCATCGCTAATTTATACTTTAAATGTATCCTTTTTATAGAATTTGTAATCCTCCTCCTAGAATATAATAGAGAACTATATCCCATTAGCTTTCATTGAAAGAGTGAGAAAGGTGGGACTATTGTCAGATATTTTAATTTTATGCTTTGAAAGCCTCTGACATGGTAAGGGCAGTGAAAGAGGTGGCCGTAATATAATGACTCTCCTGAAACATCTGTAGTTTTTTCTGCCATGCTTCTCAAAGTAACGGTGCTGTATATAACTATAGATTACATGCAGGCATTCCATATAAAGTAAGAAGTTTATACTGAAATGTTAGTCCTTAAAAGAATGATGTGTCACTGTACATGCCCCTTACAGTGAGACAGCTTATGTCATCCGTGTTTCTTTTAAGGGAACTGCAGTTATGCAATGTCAGTGGCAAAAAGACATTTCAAGATGGCTAGAATATGACCTAAAGAGAGATTCTGGGTCTTCCATCTGGTATAACTGCTCATTTCCAGATCATCCTGAAAAATCATCAGCCTGGTTAGGAGACCTTACTTCTGTAGGTATGCTATTGATGATCTTGTGGGAGCTAATTCAGCAATTTGCTGACAGAAGTCAAAATATTTCAAAATTGCAGATCCAGACAGCTTGCAGTGCTGAGGTGGTATAGAGACAAGATCATTTGAAGACATGGCTCAGGACAGGATTGCCTCCTATACCCTGAAACAGACTGATAAATCTTCCTTCCACTGGTTAATGAATTGTTTTCCCAAACTGAAGAGATCAGTTTTTCAGTTGCAGCAAGCAGTGGGAGATCCTCTTTGCAGCAAAGACTTCAGGCGAGTAAACAGGAGACATGAGTGAATTGACTGCCATTAGCTCCCATATGATTTTTCAAATTGCCGCCATTTTCACCTTTTTATAAAGGTTTGCACCTTTTTCTAGTTACTGTAAAAGGATCACGTCAGTAGAGTGATTCTTGAAGATGCTTCATAAAATATAACATAGGGTTTCCATTCACGCATGATTGTATATGATTGCACTATGCATCCGTAGTTCACACACTGGGTGGTTTGAAATGGGTGCTGGGCAAATATGCATTGTCTCCTCATTTCTCTAAACACAGAGTCTTCCTCCCACAAGACAGCTCTCTGCTAGCCCTGTCTGTTGACTACTTGTGTGGAATGTCACGGCCCTTCCATCAAAGGAAGGTGCTGAGACAGGCAGTGTCATGAATTTTGGGATATGTTTTTAATGGTAGAGAACATAGACAGCAGAAGGGTAGTGGGGGAGCAGCTCATGGTGATAAAATATTGTTTAATGCCACTGACATGGAGACAGTATGATCTGCACCCTTTCACACCAACCAGTGTACCTGATGGGACTTTTTCCCCATTCCATTTCCCTTTGCAGCCATCCATTTTCAAAGCAAACTCAGTTTTATTCCTCCTTTCACCGCTCTTATAATCACTTTCCTGATTTCTCTACCCTTCCACTAAAGTCATCCCGTCTCCACACAGTCTCTGCAATTCCCTCTCCTCCAAAATTATTCATTTTTTTTCTGGTGGCTTTTTTGTTCTTGATTTCCTTCACTCTCAAGTCATGTCAGAGTGGGAATCTTTAAACTGTTTAGTGAGGTATTTCCTTACAATACAATATTCCAGAGAGGAAATTAAAAAATGTTCTGCTAGGTTACTTCACAGTGCAGCGGATTCCAGAATCTTTTTTTTTTTTTAAAGGGAATTGTTTGGCTTGCTTAGCTCCTTAAAGAACAAACGAGGAATTTCTTATGCAGGGCTGAATCTCAGGTCACTTGAATCCCTTATTCCATGAGAGAGGTTCAGGATGCTGAAAAGAACAAGTATGAAATATGCCTGAATGTTTCATGAGGCAAGCTTTGGTACTACAGACTTTGGCTGTTTGGGAGTAGATACCATATTAATATGTGATGTAATTAATACATTTTCTGAATCTCTTGCCTATGAAAATATAGAAAGAAGCAAAACCTATCATTTCTCAGTCATTCACACCCTAGCACAGATGGGTTTAGTCATTATTTCTCCTGTTAAGATCACCTGTGTCTTCTCATCACAAAGTTGTTCAGATTCCTTGAGGAAGCTTTGGAATATTGAAATAAGCGTTCCTGATATCAAGAAAATCAGAATTTGGACAAACAAGAATATTAGCAAAGTTTATCCAGTAGTTTCACAATAAGCATACATTCCTATATATTGAGGCTGCTTAATGATCAGTATTTTGTCAGCTTCTGTTTCCTAAAATAATTTGAAATGATCCTTTATCCTGAATTTGTTGTCTTTCAATGAAATATTACCAATTTGAAAAAGACTGAAATTGTGGTTGTGGGTTTGATAATGAGATGAAAGTTGATTGTAATGACTTGAGAGATGGCTTTTCCATCAGTCTATATGAAATGGATTGTAATCTTAGATTTCCTGGTCAACAGATGCACCCAGGAGAGAGGTAAAAAAACAACACCCAAAATTTAGGTCTGTTCTAGTCAACTTAACCTCAAGTAGAAAAAAAAAACACATCAGAAAAAGAATCTCCACATAGAGGTTTGCAGTAGTTATAGTGGTTTAAATTTACAAGTTGGGTGCAATACAGTTTTCATGTGTAGTTGTGGATAGAATTACTAGATTGTCAGGTGTGTTGGACATCATAAATAGAGCAAGATGTTTCCATGAATGTGAGTTGCCTAGTATAAGTAATTGCTTATGACACACAGTCTATTCATCAGTGAGAATTGTGTTTACTGTCTCTGGGAGAGTTCAGTTATTTGTTGGTTGGATTTTGAATCATGTCATTAGTATTTCTGGTTAATTCCTCGTGAGCATTGTAAACTACATGTCCTCATGATCATTTCTGCTGCATAGGATGCTAGTACAGAAAGGTGGACCTTACTTTATATATTTAAATATTATAAAACTGCCAAATGCTTAATTGTACTGCATGGTGGTGATAGCACAAGAATACAGCTCTATACATTCATTTTTTCCACCAGTTACTGTAATTGTGTCTGTTAATGTCAGTGAAGCATCACATACTTTCTCAAAAAAGGAGCAGTTGAAATTAAAGCCATCCTAAAATCTTTCATTGTTCACGTGTGTACTGAAATGTACCCTGGGTGCTATAAAAGAGGAGCTTCAACACTGATATAATTCAGATACAGGCAATCGCAGCTCTCGTTGGCTACAGATTGCAGTTTCCAGCCAATGGGAGCTGTGGTAAGTGGTTTGGACAAATGCGATTACCTGTACCTGTGGAGGTGCAGGAAAACAAAGCATCTTGTGGCCAGCTAGTGGCTTGCTCTTACAAACCACAACCCAGAGTTTGAAAACCCCTGATCTAGATTCTAATTCCACTGCTCTCCTTCTCTGTCTGTTCTTAGGATCCATATAGGCACTGTCATTTGTAAATTAAAACAGTAGGAACGTCAATACCTTTCAGATTATCATCATAAAGCAGGCAAGATGAGGGTGTGTAGATGTTATCGCTGTACAACCATGGGTGACTACTCTGAGTACCCCAGTAGAAGCAGCATGGAAATGACTAGATTAATATAATAACCTGAAAATTATCACAAACTAAATAAAATATTTTTATACAAATTGAAATAGGAATCTTAAAACAAAGTTAAGGGTTAAAATGGAATCAGTGGTCAAGTTTAATGCTATTTAGGCTATGTAACGTTGACAGGCTCATGTAGTTACTCTTGTCTGTCCTTCCCGTTTCTACCTTCAGCTGCTTGCTAAATCTACTTGTTGAGCCTTTTCTTAAATTGGATTGTAAATTGTTCGTGACCATCTTGTAATGTGTTTCCATATTGTCTAAAACAATGGGACCCTAATCCTGATTTGCGTGCTATAATATAAAGAAATTTCAAAAGATTTATAGTTGAGTTTGAGGGCTGATAGAGGCTTTTTTCAGTTTCTGGTAGCAGAAAAATTTAAAATTGGTAGTATATATACGTAAACATAAATGTTTTGGTCAGGATATGTTTTGAGTTTTACCCTAGCAATGTCCCTTTAAATTTAATCTGTAATTACTTTTTTGCTCTAATCAATTTGTCTTGCAAATTTGATCTAAAAAACAGATACAAATTGCTATATTAATAAAAGGGGACATCTAAGCTTCACATGGAATGGATCACGTCGATGTACATCACTTTGTGTTAGTTTGAAGAGCCCCATCATTCAGATATGGTCTTACAGTTTGTATAAAGTTACTAGTTGATTTCCTTGATCCTAGGAATAAATTAGACAAGATCTGCTTAAATTTTTCATTCCCAAATTTCCGTTTGCCATAACAGAACCGACTAGTTTAGAATTATGCTTTTGAAGACACAGATTGCTTCTAAAACAAAGTTACACGTGATTAATTAATATAAAGGGGTGTTAGAGATGAAACTTTTTGGAGTGAAGATGTGAATCAGTAACTTGGAAAAAAAACTTGTATTTAAGACATGATGGGATGATAAAGAGGAGGATGATTCTCAAGTCAGAGTCACCAAAATCATTTCTCTTTTCTCACTGTTCTTGTAGTCACATGAAAATGCTAGAGCAAAATAACTTTGTATAATGTTTACCTTGAAATATCTCTGTGTTAATTGGAAAATTGGCACTAGCTAGTCTACGTGCTCCTTTATGTTAACCCTTGGTTTTGAATTTGGCTGCCAGGCAGTTGTTCTAGTGTAAGTCTTGACTCTAAAAATCTTTCTATACATTTTGTTGAAATCAAATTAGTTTGTGGCTTCTCCCCCCAAACATAAAACAGGTGTCTAAACCAAATAACACAGTGCTCATATTTCTATGTGCACTTGAGGACTTCCAAATTTAAAAATGAATCTTATTTACAGAAGCACAAAAATAAAAATCTGAAGCTACTAACATTATGTTCATATTTGTTTAATTTTTAAAGTAACTGAAAACTGTTTATCACATTTTGGTAAGAAACTTCACTCCCAGCTGGCGGCCTCTTATGATAAACTGATCAAAAGTTGATGTTTACAGCAAAATATTTGTACCCTAGAAAATAGGGAAGTGCTATGTACACACACATTACTTTTTGCAAACAGTGCCTCAGAAGGCAGCCAGCCTAATTCTTCAGGGAATTTTGCATGTAGCTTCTTTCTATCAGCAATGTTGGTTTCTCTGTTAAGCAGTAGACCTTGCACAAAAAACAGTCTTGCGATATATGGAAATATGAATTTGAAGCTAATTTGCTTCCCAAAGCTTTAAAATACCTTTTACGTCCGTCCCCCTCTTCTTCATTCATTAGTGGAAATTTCATGTATTGGAGAGCTCAAGCCTTTCAACACTAGGTTGCCAGATGAGATCCCAGCTGTTAATGGTCACAAGTCATTAGATCAGGTTACCTATGGAATGGAGCTGGCGATCTTGGTTCACTTTCTGGTGGACAGTTGTTCATATCACATTGATAACACGCTTGTCAGGATCAGAAGAGATGTTAAGTACTGAATGGGCATGGAGACCAAACTACCCTCACCTCAAGTGGTGTTCCCTTCAGGTCAGAGTCGAAGCATTTGGGTGGGGCATTGTAGCGCATGCTTGAATTGCCACTGGCCTGGTTAGCCTAGGTTGGACACCATTCAAGAGGGCTAAATTCACTTAGGAAACACCTTGAAGATGTTTTTTAAAAATTCCAAAATTGGGTAAAAAATTCTTGAAAAGACTTCACAACTTGGGATCTTTCACATTAGAAATTTCTTGTATTATTTTTAAATGTACTAATAAAATTGCCAATTTCTTTCAGGTGGGTGTACATGGCATTAGAATAGAATTCATCAATGAAAAAGGATCAAAACGCACCGCTACCTACTTACCGGAGGTTGCAAAGGAGCAAGGTCATTGTTGCACTTTATTTCATATGATCTGGTGAAGAATTTAAATTTACCTATAAACCTAAAATGCAATATTTGACCTTGCACTGATGTCAGATGATGGAGCAATACTTAACTGTAAGGAATGACTCTTATATAAATGCCACTTACATGCCTGTTTAAAATCAGTCCTTTATTGGGAAGATTTCAATAAACTGTAGCAGTTTAAGCAAGTCATAAATAAACAGTAAAGTAGCAGCAGTATGCAAAATAAAAGATGTAGGGATGGTACTGTGCTAATTATAAAATGCCATTTTTTATACAAATGTGGTACAATTGTGAAATGCAAAAAAACTTTTTAACTTAGTGATGGGATGACAGCTCATGTATCTTAACAGTGAAGTTTTTTATCAACCTGCAATCCTGAAGTTTTTCTCTTGTTAGGCTCTCACTGCTGGCACTTAACCCTGTTTAAGAACTCTGGCTTCCCCTTGTTTCCTGGGTGGATAGCAGGGAGTTGGTTTCATTCTGAATGTCCCAAAATACTTATGTAATGAAAATATGTCCCCTTCAAAGAGGCATAGATTGTAAGCTCATCATTTGAAAGAACAATATACACTAGTTCTTTTTAAAGCCAGTATGTGGTACCGATCTGTTTACTACTTACTAATTTTTTCTCTTTCAGTCATTAATTTTTATTTTGCCTGCTCGTATTTTGATTTGGTGTGTTAGAGAAAGGGAAACCTACACTAAGGATCATAATAAAAATACAATGCCTTGTCCACAAGTGGCCACTTAAAATTACCCGTAAGGTTTCCAGTAGTTTTGTTTGATCTGTACTTTATAGATCTGAATCTTCCAGGAAAATGTGGGGGTTTTTTGGGCTAAGATCTTATATAGTCACTTAAGACAGCTTTTACTAATTTTGCCCTAAAAAATTCACAACCATGAGAAACCACACACTGTGAAATCTGATGCATTGTGCGCTTTCATCCTGTACTATACAGATGGGAGACCAGCATTTATCATTTTGGAGGTCCTAACGCAAAAGGGAATTGTAGGGAGTTGCAGGGTTATTTTAGCGGGGCCACGGTATTGCCACCCTTACTTATATGCTGCCTCTAGCTTTGAAGGCTCTGCCCTACCAGTAGCACTGCAGAATTAAAATTGAATATACCATACCATGCCACTCTTCCTTCTGTGCTGCTGCCTTCAGAGCTGGGCACAGCTGGAGAGTTGCAGCTGCTAACTGAGAACCCCACTCTGCAGGCAGTAGTGTAGAAGTAAGGATGGCCATACCATACCAGGCCATCCTTACTTCTGTGTCGCTGATGGCAGCCACTCTGCTTTCGTAGCTGTGCTCCTGGCCAGCAGCCGCCATTCTTCAGCTGCCCAGCTCTGAAGGCAGTGCCACCTGCAGCAGTGCAGAAGTAAGGTTAACAGTACTGCATCCCCTATGATCCCCACATCTTCTTTTTGGATCAGAGTCCCTACAATTACAACAGCGTGAAATTTCAGATTTAAATCACTGAAATCATGAAATTTATGATTTTTTAAATTGTATGTCGGAGAAATTGGCCAAAATGGACTGTGAATTTGGAAGGGCTAGATACAGATATACCTTTGTCTGTTTAATAAAACATGTTCATGTATAGCTAGACATCTATCTGAACAATCTAAGCAATTGTGTACTTCTGAAACAACACAGCCAAGTTTTATCAAGAAAAAGTTCATAGTTCATTTTCTACTTATTAAGATACCATGTATTCAACATTTTATATGTATATCTTGCTTTAAAATACTGTCAAAGACTTGCTGCAGGAGAACAATAATTAACCTAAACTATTTGTGGGTTAATACTCCAAAAAGGTATAAACCACCTGCCAGCAAACTTTTCAATGTTGTATTTCTGAAATTGTAAACATTGCTGTTAAAGTAGCACTTACAGAGAAGTCTGTGAAACCCCATGCCATTTGGTGATGAGGTGTTGGATTTTTCTATCCTCTACCTGCCCCCCGTGAACACACACTTTGAGCCAGTAAAGCCTGCTTATGTGCAGTATTTTCCAATAGAAACTTAAAAGTTTACTATAATACATGACCTTACTACAGATGGATGGAGTCCTCCTTTTCTTTTATTGCATTTAGACTTTGAAAGGATATTTTTTTTGTTTTTCTCTATCCAGAAAGCATGGCTGTATTGGATCTACTTTTAAATTGTATGCAGGATCTTTGCTTTGCCCAATAAACTTACTCTGATGTTGAAAAATCTTGTATATGGTACTTCCAGCAAGAGGCTATTCTTAGAACACAGAAATTTACATGTTACAGATCTGTGGGAATCTTTATAATAGACTTTAACAGAGTAGATGAAAAAATAAAACATGAACTAATATTGTAATGTGCAGTCTATTTTATTACTTGTTCTTTGCTGATATTTATTCTGATAAAACTCAACAGGATGGGACCACATTCAGACCATAGATTCTCTATTGAGAAAAGGAGGCTACAAAGCGCCAATTACTAATGAGTTCAGGAAAACCATAAAACTGACCAGGTATGTATTAGGGGATAAATTACAGATATGTTTTGTTATTTCAATATTGCCTCTATTTATTTATTTCCTGAAGACATCTGCTAATATATTGATAGTAAAGTCTTCTTTCATAGTAACGGAGTTAGCAATATCTTTTTCTTCTGCAACAGTGGTCCTTTCTTCTTTTTGTGTGGTTGTAACATCCATTAATCTTAACAGAAGTTAACAACACTCAGCATGCTATTTTAAAGTAAGGGTTTGCAAGAGTACCCTGTCTACTTTATTTTATGCTGCTGCTTAAAGATTTCAATTGTGAAAATGGGTGTGGTAGCTCTTACTTTCCAGAGTCAGTGCACTGCGTGTAATAGATATCCCCTCTGGGGTCCAGGGTGATTAGGAATTCTCACCATTCTAAATGCTAAGCTTCAATTTGTGCAGATGCCTCATCTGCTTCCTCTGCTAGGAAACTGCAGTACCCTCCCAATATTACATAGCATTACCCTACAGTTGAGTTAAGAAGAGCACAAACTGGATAATCAGGCTTGCAGTCTCTGTGTTGTTGGGCTGGGTTCTTTACTACCTCCACATAAACCAGGCAGTGTTTGTTGACTGCTTTGACATTACTTTTACATTTGTAGTGGATATGCTGTAAATTGAATGATGCAGAAATAAGGTTTTATAGAGGCTGTTCTGCATATAGCTAGAGAGATACATTATTATACACTTGAAAAATAAATACATTAATAAATTGAGAGACTGTAGAACTCCCAGTTTGCTCAGGTGATTATTAAGAGTTAGGGAAAAAAGGTGGGACTCAGTAATGGGCCCACCTTATACAAAATGGTTTAAAGATAAGATGGTGCTACGCCCTGGCCCTAAATTCCTTCCAGATATGATAGCGAAATTCTGCCTCAGTCAGTCATCACTTTGTCAGTACTCTTCTCAAGTCATCATCTATTCACATAAGACCTTCTTTAAGACACTTTAAAAGGAAAGACATATTTGGGTGGCTTTTCATTCTCCTCCTAGTTTGTGTGTCTCATTCCTATTTGGAGTCTCTCCTCTGCATGCAGGTAGGGACAGGTCCAGACTTGTTACTCAGATTAACAAAATCTCCAGATGGCATTGCTACAACAGCAATACCAATACAGTGACTGTTAAATAAAATTACTTCCCTTATCTTTCTGTAGACACCATTCTTTTTTATTTTTTTTCAGTATAGCAACATGAGGAAGAGAAGAATACTTGTGCCTTCTGTATCATCCAAATAGTCAAACCAGGAGAAAAAGAAATTGACGATAACTAACATCTTAAACACAACCTCATTTGATCACCTTTCTCTTGAGCATCCTTGCAGGCCAGGCTGTCTGTATCCAGGAAGGCAGGCAGGTTTTCCTGCTTTGGGCATCATTTTACATATAAGGGAACTTTTCCCTTATTAAGTTTCCTTCCCCCAACTTGCAACTTTGCTTCACCTATCCAAGGCTCCCTCTTGCAGTCCTTCTCTCCTGTTGCTATCAGTTCAGTGGTTGGTTACTTTCCTTTCTTTTCCTCCACCGCCACACTTAAACCTTCAGAGGATGAGTAAAGCTGGTTTTTCCTTAGGATGCATCCATTCTTTTAGCACATGATTATCTTTGTATGGTCGATGCATGGTCATTATGTGTGCCTCATTGTCCCTTGTCTGGTGTGTACCTCCCAGGCTCCGTATACAGTGGAGAATACATGCACATATGGATATTCATGATACAGTAGTTTTTATAGTAACATTTCACAATAACTCCATGGAATCAACTAGAATTCGGAATGTGCTAGGCAGTTTCTTTCATCAACATTTTATTTTAACAGTAAATTTAGGTATGGCACTAAAGTATAGATGCCATACGTACCATAGGGCCAAAAGCCATCTCCATATGAGGGGTGTAGGTATGTGTATGATGAAAGATATGAGCAGGGAACCATACTGTGGTAGTGCAGATCTAATCAAAGAATGCATGAGATTTGTGCATCCAAAGTTAGCCAGCAACTTTGGCTGAGCCATCTCCAGCTTCTGGTGGAGGAGATATGTTTCTGAAGGGCACACCTTAATCACCTAGCTGTAGAGAAGCTGCCTTCTTAACTGCTGGTAAAAAACAGGGACTCACATCTTCTGCAAACTTGAGTTCAGTTCTCTTAAGATAAATTCAGGTTGGACCTCCAAAAACCAGGACTCCCTTGTCTGGCAACATCTGTGGTCCGGTAGGACCACAGTTGTTCCTGGACCCAAGGAGGGCTGGTGGCTCAGAGTCCAGCAGCACTGGCACTGGAGCCCTGGTAACAGAGATGAAGCCATGGCAGCCCTGGTAGCAGGTGGGGCCAGAGACATGGAAGCCCAGGTAGCAAGGTCGGGTTTTGTGGCAGTCCAGGCTGCTTGGACTGCAGCAACGCAGCAGCCTGGCAGGAGGGGGGAGGAGAGATGGGCTGGGGGGCTGGTAGCAGGGACCTCCCCAGTCCAGAAAATTCCTTCATTCGGGACTGATCCGGTCCCAAGTGTTTCAGACCGGAGAGGTCCAACCTGTACTCAATTCTGAAGTCCAACAAGTTGTGCTACTGTGATTTAGATTTAGAAAAGAGAGAAAGCGGAATAATAGCGCGATCTGTGAAAATAAACATTTTGGGTATGGGTGGGGACGTTTTAATTGAAAAATACAGTGTTTGTGGTCCACTTGACAACTCATAATCCCAAATTCTGCAGGTCAGCGGGATCATTATGAAGAATACAAAAAAGGAACTAATGGGACATGTGCAGGGGGAGGAGGGGAGAGAGGTCCCCTCTTAAAATTAATGGGATTAGAGTTTTGATGTAGGATTTCCATCACTTATTAGAAACTAGGAATCTTAGTCTCCTATGGGAAATAATTGTATTCAAGGTGGCTAACACACTTCACTGCCTATGCTGCTACAAGTTCACTTCCATTTTCAATGTCTTAGCTTGATCAAAGATCACACATGTTCCTCTGTCTGAGCTGGAAATAACACTTCTCACTGAAGTGTAGCCTCTCTTATATCTACAGCACCCAAACCAGTGGCCACTTATTAGCCCTCATCAGTGAAATAAAGTAAAAAATAGATGTGTAGAGAACTGTTTCTTTTCTCCAGTATTCCACATCTGCTAGTGGTGTTAAGCAATTCATATAACTCCTACTTACATCTGTGATCTATAGCAACAGTGAAACATTAAACCCTTCTCGTCAGATAATGCTCCTTTGAGCAAGCTCCAGTTGCTTTTTATATTGAAATGACTGTCTAGTCAGGCAGCTTCGGCTGTTCCCTTTTCTTTAAGAATATTCAGGCAAGAGGCAAAACTTCCCTCTTTACTCAAGAGTTTAAGAGGTAAATAAAGTTTTAGAGAGACCAAAAATGGTCCATTGTAGGAGTTCCAGCCATTCTTAAATTCTAGTATTGGCATTAAAATTAATTCTCTTTTCTCTCTCTCAAATTCTTGTAATGTCTAAAAAGCAGTTTAGGATGTAGGATAAAGGGACAGCATTGCATTTTGTTTTTCCATCTGGTTAAACAAGCAGATGTGATTCTAGTTTGACAGACTATCTTGGCCTGGTTTGACACACATTCAAGCAACTTCATTAGCTGCCAAGTTGATGGTTTATTTTCAAGTTGAAGGGGATTTCGTTCAAAGATCAGATTATCCATGCAATATAGTAAGTGCCCCGCTCCATTCATGCCAAGTTGAGGAAACCCACGACTGGTCTTCCAACCAAGGCCAGCAGCCATTTGATGGATTAATGCATTACTAAGAACACCTATTGTGTCAAGTATACTTGTGCTTCTTTTGTATTTTTGGTCTTTTGAATCACAGTTTGTGGCAACAGAGTGTTAGGTATGGTCTCAGCATAAATGCAGTTCCCACTTTTACAGTACAGCATAAGTGTAAATGTGGCAGTAGTTTGATGTTTGTTGGAAAACTTTATTAATTGTTTAATAGAGAGAGTTTAAAAGGAAACTAGCAGAGGCAAGATTCTTCTTTGTTATATTTGGGCAAAGTTTACGCTATGGATGCTACAGCGGCACAGGTTCACCACCGCAGCTTTATTATAGTAAAGCTTTTTTTATTAAAACACAAATTGTCAACATAACAGGTCAAAGTAAATACCCCTAAATCAAACTCTAGTAACTTCTCAAGGAGACTTTTTCTTACATTATCTATCCTGTACACTTTAGTTTTTTATCAATGGAAAGAGTTTTGTTTTTTTCTGTGCATATAGTGCAATTGATGTTTACCAACATTTACTGATGAAATATAATCTTTCCAGGCCTAACCTTGGTGTTTCTAAGGTTTCCTTTAGTGTTTCTAATGGTTTCCTTTAAAACCTTTTGAAACTTTTTTTTTCACCTGCTTTTAGGTACCGTAGTGAGAAGATGACCATGAGCTACACAGAGTACCTTGCCCACCGTCAGCATCATCACTTCCAAAATGGCATTGGGCACCCTCTTCCACCATACAACCATTATTCCTGACACTGAGCCACATGACCAGTCACTGGACCTCTCTGCAGACCTCTTCCCAGGAGACCCTACCCCTTCCTGGTCTAGCTATCTCTATTACTGTACCATTTTATGATGATAGTTTCCGTTGCCATGTTGACGCTTCTCCTTGGTTGGTCAAGTTCATCATGGCAACGGGTGGGAAAACTGCATTATTACAAAGCTCCCATAACTCTTTTTTTATTGAGTCACTGCGGGGATTTTTTGCAGCACATAAAACCCTTGTGTTTTTTTTATAACATTTTAAATTTCTATTTCATTAACATTGAATTATATCAATCAAGGTTTTCTGTGACTGTGGATGGAAGGAAGAACTTAATGGTTTAAAGATTACAATTAGGGATTTCCTTTATTGAGTAAGATATTAATAGTGCTAACAGGTAATGAAACATATCAGAGATTCAGGTATTAATCATACATTCCCCACCACTGTAGTAAAAGCTGTTTAATTTCATGTAGATAAATACATGAACTTCAGATCCCAGGACTTAGAATTTGAAAGGCAATGATACTTCAAGTGAAGAGAAGCTGTTGTACATAGCATAAGAGGCAATGATAGGAACTATTTCAGGATCAGTTGGTCTAGTTAATTACAGACTTAATGTGCAGGGTAGGAAGCATCCTCAACTCTCATTTAATTCCATGGGGATTGAGGGCATTCTGACACCAAACAGTGTTTGTAATGCAGAGAAGAGACACCTTTCTGATCTTCTCAAAATAGGAGTCACTTTTGTTTTAATAATGGTTGGTGAGTAGGCAATATTATGTTAGGAAGAAAATGGATTTAGATGTTTGTGCCTTTTGACTAGGACATAAATATAGTTACCTAAAAATCATAGGAAGAATTCTATTAAAAACATCAGACAGCTTAGAAAACCATGCTCGGTCCTCTACTGAGCTGGTATCAATTATTTTTTAAACTGGAATTCTTTTGAACAAGCATGTTGTGAAAGAATTATCTTCTTTCCCCCCATCTTATTCTTTTTTAGTTGTGGGTGTCCTAAATGTTAAGTCATGATTAGCCAGATAATAGTTAAGAGCATGAAAAGCACAGGACAAATATGCCTTGATTTTAGATGTCTTCAGCTGTTACAGGAACAGTCCTGGAGAGTTGTAAGTACTATGAAATATTCTGGCAACTTTTCTGCACAAAGCAGCAGTAGCAAATCGCTTTCTTTCTTGCTTAGAATTTTATTTTCAGCTGTAGTAATGGAGATGGGATTTATAAAAGGTATGTGGGATATAGTAGCAAGACCTGAACATTCTGGAGAGTGTTTTCTCCTTGCTTCATGTGCCTATAGAACTCCCATAAATACTGGCAGTCGCTTATTGCATCTTCAGGGGGATAATATACCCCATGCATTATAGAAAAATCAACATAAGGATGAGTAAAAAGCATTAAGCAGAAATCCCCAACTGTTTTGAATAATGGATATTTGTGTATAAAAATAATTCTGAACAGATGAGAAATAAAATTGAGCTGATAATCCTTTTGCTGTATCAAACAGCAAACTGCTAGTTGATAATTTAAACTTTTATATATTTATTTCAAAGGATAATTGGGTAAATTGTTACTTCTCATCTATAAGAGACAGGATTTGCTGGGTTAGTTTTAAGGCATTTTTATAGAAGGTATTTGGTATTCCTTCATCCACAGCATGTGATGTCCAAATGTTAACACTTTCAGTTGTGATGCCTTAATTTATAAACAAACAAGAGGGCCTGAAAATTCAGTAGCCAAGAGGACATTGCAAAACTCAATAGATATTTATATAGAGGATATTTTGGATGATAGTATTGTCTTGTCTCTACTTGGGGAACATTTTAAAGTGGATTAGCTTTTAAGTGGAAACTGTAAACAAGTGGCTACTTGATTGAAATTTTTTTCTTGCCCTTATAGGGAAACTGAGCACAAGTTGAAGAATATTGTCTGCTGCAAAAAAAAACAAAAAAAAAACATTCACCCCATCTTTACCCATCATCTCGTTACAGCATGCTCATGCTTCTGTATGAGCTCATTGTTAGAAGTTTTTTAAAAAAAGATCTATTATATATAAAAATATATATGTATTTAAAGGTGCTAATCAACCTTGAGCAGGTCACGTGACTGGTCATGCGGACTCTAAAATCATATCAGATTTTTTTAAAATCCTCGATATATGCAGATGTTATACAGAATTTCTTACCAGTGTAATAATGATATACTGATGAAATAAACAATCCTGCAGGTTTTGAAGGACGAGGTCAGCAATACTTCCGATCATGGCTTGGGGGAGAAAAAAAGGATAGTTTTGTCTCCTTTTTTGTACACAGACAAAATGCATTGTGCATTATGCTATCTTTTAGTAGCTGTTGCTTAAAAAGAATAGTTTGAAGAGTGTTATACAAACTGTAAAGGTGTGCTTTAAAATCAAGTAATGCCTGAGGCCCTTCTTGACCAGAGTTTTATGTCATTCATTAAAAAGCTATTATAGGTATATGGTCAATCAATTAATCAGCTTTCTATGAGCTACATAGAAATACACTGTTTTTTCATGCTTAGAATAATCAAATCTATCTGCTGTGTTTCTGGGGCATCTGTCTCCTCAATATGTAAGTGCCGAGAATGCTGTTGAGTATGTTTCATATATACCTGTAGGTATATTTGAATAAACATACATGTATTTCACTCAGACATGCCCTGGAACAGAATAGGTCTGTTTTTCTAAACCTGATCAAGAATAGTGTGTGAAAGCAGTTTCATAACATTCTTATTTAACTATGCTAAATAGCCATTTAGATATTGTTCAGTGGAAATATTTTTATGTAGGTATTTTATTAAGTTAAAATACAGCGAAGTAGTTTGGGAGGGGGAGGAATTAAAATTTTAGCTTTCAAGATGCACTAATCAGTTTGCTTTATTCCATTAAAAAAGGCTTTGTCACTTTAACAGCACATGGATTGGAGGAAGAGACTTCAGACAGCAGGCCTCTCCAATTCACATAGTTGTTGCTCAGTCATGCTTCAAAGTGGCCTTCCTTCTGCCCCAGATCGTGCTGTCTCACTGACTCCATTCCCCCCACCTCCACCGCCAGCAGGGAGAGGGCACAGTAGTAAGTTCTGACCTGTTGGATGATGATAATCAAGGCAATTGATCTGGCACACCCTGACATTTGTATACCGACCTCTTTACTTGTCTTCAACTGTGTGGGTTTTTGAAACCGTTGTCTGGAGTAGGTTACATCTCTTGTGTGTGTTAGATCGAACCAAAGAAGCCTCCAGCCATGCCCAAATGCTGCTCCTAAAGCCTGCCTTCCAGTCCTTTCAAAATCCCTGCAGGATTAAATGTTAACTTTTTTATTTTTGTACAGTTTCTAACTGATTTTTGCTAGTGATGTTAATTGAATTAAGTTTATTTGAGGAGTCTGAGTACCTCCTTCGTTTAAATAAACTGGCGACTTTCCTTTTATGTTAAAAATAAATATAGAAACCCAAAGTGTGCCTCTCAGATATAAGGGTTTCTGGTTACATTTATTCTTATGACCAGCAATGATTCTTTATATACAAAGATATGTTTTCCTTGTTTTTTATTACTGTTAAAAAATAAAAACCTCTTTCTTTGCTCTGGATCCAGTAACTACGCTGGTACACAAACGCACTGAAAAGACAAACTTTTGTTTGAAACTTTTGTAACAACTTATGACTGTTTTTGTATATCAAAGTTGATTCTTTTCAAAAAATTTGGATCTAGTTTCTAAGTTATTTTAGCGTTTTATATGTTATGAAAAAATTAATTTGAATTGTTCACCAGCATAATGAGTTATCTGGAATGCGATGGTGACATATGTAAATGGGCTTTGAGCTACCTGGAGTAGCTTAAAAGGCCCTTATTTCTTTTTCCTTATTAGTAACTTGATTATTGATTACAATAATATCACAGATTACCTGAATCCCCTTCCATTATAACTAGATCCTCCCTTCCAACATTTGCTATTAGTGTGAAGAAACTGTTGAAATGGGCATTTTAATGAGTATGGCTCAAAAAGGTAAAAATGAGGAAAAAGGAAAAAAAAATATACATAGAAGGTTCTGTGGGTCTGTGCGATATGGCTGTGGAAAGATATTGTAGTAGTTTTAACACTATTGTTCTTACCTTTTAAATCATTTACCCAATAAAAAAAGAAAAAGAATCACCATTTCCTGTTTTCATGTTCCTTTGTAAATGGTGTGGTCTGCTCAGTTATTTTTTTTTAACATTTGAAATTAGAGGGTTCCAAAAAGGAATTTGGATTTTAATGATGCATTTGGAGGTAATATTTTATGCTAAATAAAGTTGTGTTTATTTTCCAAGCTAGGGGAATAAATTGGGCACAAACCACTTGGTATTTCTGGGGTAGAGAGAAATGGACCATCAAACTGAGAAGTGTCACCCTAGCTAACATGTAATACTTCAGAGCTTGATTTACTCTGTGCCTGCCGCTTCCATTGATTAAAAGTTAAAAGTAACTGAAAAGGGGGAAGTTTTATGCAGCGCCTTCATGTTTCAAAACTAGTCATATTGGTACAACTTCTATCTTTTATATAGTACGCCTCTGGGAGACTTGACAAAACAGTGTAGAGCCGTGGTCCCCAACACATTTTCATGCACCCGCCAGGTGCTCGGGGCTGGCCTGGCCCCGGGCACATGGCACGCGGCGCTTGGGGGGAGGGGGGGGAAGCGTCGCCCGCCCGACAACCTGAAAAGGTTGAGGACCACTGGTGTAGAGTTTGTTACATTCTCAATTTACTAAACACTTGAAGTCCCACCTAAAATAGAATCCTAAATCTTGTGACTCACTAGGCTTGAAAAGATTAGAGAGAACATTGGGGAGTGTATGTAGTTGTGTTTACTATTCCACCTACCTTCTAAATGTAATGCCTTTAATTTATATCATTCATGTAAAAATTATGCTCCCTCTCCTAAGGATGTGGTGGTTCTGGGGAGACTATGCCTTTCCCTAAAATCCTTGAGCCCAAATTTCCAAATGTGAGTGGCTAAAGTTAGAACCAAATCCACTGAGAACAGTGCTAAAACCCCTGCCAGTCAGGCCACTCTGAGGGTATGTCTATACAGCAGTATTATTTCGGAATAACGGCTGTTATTCTGAAATAACTGCTTGTAGTATAACGCAGACTACGTTATTTCAGAATAAGATCAAAATAATGGCAAGCTGGAGGACTTCTTACTCCAACTCCTGTAACCCTTATTTTACAAAGAGTAAGGGAAATCAAAGGAAAAGTACTCTTCTTTGGACTTCCTGCTGTGTAGATAGTGCCAAAAGTCAATGGGTGAGTTTGTAAAGACAAGCTATTGGACTAGACATCTACACTAATACCTGGACGACTGTTCCCTTTGCTGTACTCTGTATACTGTGGGATTCAACTTTTTTGATCATTTAAGATTTCTCCCCATTTTTTTTCATTTTACCTTGGTGCACTATGAGCACTACACTTGGGAAGTAGCTAAGTGCCCTCATGGCAGGAAAGTAAAACTTACATATTCTGTAACTTTTTATATGAGCTCCATGAAACCCCATCCAAAGTGTCAAATTCCAGTTGGAGAGGAATGCTCCATTCTTCCTTCCGCCCCATGGAACATTCCTTCCCTCAGAGTGGGAGCTGACTTTGCCACAAGTTTTCATTTCCACTTTTTGCAAGGAAGTACTAATATTTTATGTTTAATCAGAATATATAGTTTGTCTGTGTTAGGGTACTTCAGTGAGGTTGCAGTGCTGTGAACAGCTCTGCCTGTTGGTTGTATATGGTAAAGCTAGAGAGTTTTAAAACAATTTCAGCACTTGGGAAATGAAATAACCCAGTTCACAGAACATCAGGTGCCAACTTCAGGGAAGAAAAAGTTAGATATGTTCATTTTACACTTGAAATTGCTACAGCATTTTCAAAATTGTGAAATATCAAGCAGGAAGTTTATTAAACACTGTTTCTATGAAGGATTAATCTACAGTCTGAAATATACCTTATAGTAGTTTAATAATCCTTTCCCCAACTCCTAGCAGTTTTTATTTCTTAACATAAGTAGGAAAATATTTAATACATTTCAGTCTCTTGCCTGAGTTATTTCAGCTTTGTAAACTAGTTTGCTTCTCATTCACATCTAGTTTATTGGCTTGAGCTATGCATTCAAGTTATTAGCACCAGTAGTTTGTCTTCCCACACACTTTGTGACTGGTCATCCCAAAACAGAATTAATTCTGCTTCTTGAATGGATAGCCTCTATGTACTATTTAATATATATGTGCTTGATTGGTCACTTCCTTTTCCATGAACCCTGGTTGGAAGTTATAGTAACCTGTCACAATGATGCTGTTCATGGGATTGATGTTTAGATGCTAAGCAGCTTTTGCAATCAAACTACTGCTGCTCTGAAGTGATAAAAACCTACTAATTAGGACTCTATCATCTGTAATGACTAACTAAACAGTGAAGGGATAAGCCCTAACAAAGCTGAGCAACAGACATAAGTGTGCAAATATTGAAAAAACAAAATGTTCAAAAATTGTTTTATGTTAACCTGTGCACAATTGTGTTCCCTACCTTGTAATTCTTCTGTGACTACAGTGAAATATTGGAGTGACAGAACAGAAAATTAGGAAGAATATTCTACCATTTTGGCAGAGAAGAAACTGAAATCCGCAGAGTGTAGTTAATGAGACATACAAAGTTTTAAAAAGCATTTCCTTCATTGAACACATACATTACCATCTACCTACCACTTGGCAGGGGAAGTTTAAACAGTGAATAGAGAGGAAGATATGTATGTGGCTTCATCTCTCTCCTTTGTGTTCTAAATGTAAGAAGGGATGATATGGAAGATGTTCAAATTTCTTGGCTACAACTGGTTGTAATCAGGGGTGTAACTAAAATGATGACAAAACTGCTCCCCCACACAGTAGACGGTATTTATTCCTTTAATTAAAGATTTAACAACTATTTGCCCAATGAGCAGGATTTCCATTAGGGACCAACAAAACCAAACCAAAATACAAAAAACCAAGTACACAAATATACCTCTTCTTTGCAAATGTTACTTGATAACCAAGTTTTAGCACATTAAAAAGGTTACAAAATTTAAAACACTTTTACAAATCTCTTTGAACTAACAGCAGAGGTGGCAGCTGAGTGCCCACGCAGGTCCTGGTCCCTGTAGTTCCAATCTGTGCCTGGATAATATGATGGCTGGAACCAAGGGCTGGGTAACTAGAACCACAAGTTAGACAGCTTTGTGCCTCAGGGAAGTGCATGTATCAATTCCAGCTTCTGGGCAAAGCATGGCTGTCCACAGTACTATGAGCGCACTCACCACCTTACCTGCTGCAGCAAGAGAACTAGGGCTCAGAATAAATGCACAAATAAAAAAAGGTATAAAACTGACCCTCCAAAAGAGAGCGCCATTCTAAAAACAGCTTGGTTTTAACTAAACATTAAGCAGAAAAAACAGATTTACAGCAATGTCACTTTGAGCACAAAAGAATTGACAGGTTTGTTATGAATCTTGTCACTGTAACCAGAGTCAGTCACAAAAAAACACAATTGTCTTTGCCTTTACAAACATACCTGCAGCATTTCTGCTTACGGGCTAATACCAGATGGCCCTTTGAATTTTTGAACTTATTAAAACTAGGATGACTAGCATTCCAAATGTCACATCTGTATTATGCAGTGTAACTTTATCTCCCTGCTTTTAACATAATTGTAAAAAAGTTCACCTAGTAAAACAACAAATGCAACCGGAAATGACTGCCATAAGAAAAACTGCACATCTTCCCCCCCCCTGCTTTTATAGCTACAACTGGCTGAGAAACCAATGCTTGTGATTTATAGACAAGACTTGGGACAGAATCAAGTACTTAAGCAACTGCAAATAACCGTTTCTGAAAGGGAAAGACACTTAGGTTTTACAAAACATTCAATTATCAAATATACAGAAATATCAAAACCCTGATTGAGGTACAGACAGAGGGTAAAATACATCTACACTGAGGTACTCAAACCTTAAAGTGCACAACTGAATGGCTGCTCATCTCCCAGCTCCAGCCAAGCACTCTGCCTACAAGCAGCATCTGTCAAGCACTAAGACGTCAAACTAATATCAGGTCTAGGAGTGTATTTTGGGGCTATGGCCTTACTTCCATTAACAGAGATACATATATTTATGAACATGACTAAGTGCAGTTTCTCTCACAGGGTGGAAATTAACAAGATGCTAATTCATCTTTGGTGTTTGAAGTCCAATGTGGTTAAGTGGCAGATGGACAAAAACAGATTAATGGTAAAATCACCACTAAGGGTGTGTCTGGACCTGTGAAAAACAGCACTAGCTATGATTGGGACAACTGAAAGCCTTGGCACCAAAATATATTACCATACGCTGGCTGCTGCCCAACATTAGGTGGGGAGGGAGGGGCAGAAGAGTTACCAGCCTGAGCATAAACAAACTGTGTGATCAGTAAACAATTTAATTGTAGCTACTAATAGCACCTCCTGTAGAATAGGGAGGAGAAAAGGTCAGAGTTTGGTGTGCTCAGAAAGGTCAACTCCTATTGGTCAGAGCACCAGGTCACTAAATAAATGGAGCTAGCTTTAAAAAGACACAATTTTACCTTCAACATACACAAAGTTTTGAGATGGAGACAATCTCAAAATAAGGATGCACTTGATAAAGTTAGGCTTAGTATGGGATTGATTCCATTGACATGACTAGCCAGTCACATCAGTCAGGGATCGTCTAGATAATACTAAGCCGTGTCTCAGCAGAGGACTGGATGACCTATAGACATTCCTTCTAGTTCTACATTTCTATGAGTCTCTCGTTCCTTTTCTAGGCTTTTCCCTCCCTCCTTCCTATACTGTAAAGTAAGCTACTTTATTCAAGCTCCCAACTGACAAGTGAACTGCTTAAAAATGGAAGAAACAATCATATCAAAGACCACAAACTGCTTTCCTGTCACTGGAGTTCTGAATACTATGGAAAATAACCTTCTCAACATGAGATCTATTCGCTTTCAGCACCATGAGTGATTTTTCCTTGGTAGCAGTGAACTAGCGGAAGACAAAAGTGATCTGTGTGAGGCAGCTCAGATGGTGAGAGTCAAACTAATCCCTTCCACACTGACCTGTCTGGTCTCTCACCTTGTGCTTGCCTCCTCTTTTCACGCTTCCTGGTCACCTGGCTTCACCTTTTCATATCCAGCACAAACAGAAACCAACCAAGGATCCTCATCTCTATTAAGTGCCTGTAAAACCCACATGTTCAATGGGGGGGGGGGAGGGGGAGGACTTCCTCTGTAGAAGTAATGCAGCCCTCCAATTGGGACACATGAATAAGTTGTCCTGCTTCTGAGTAGCCCACTATCATCCAAACCAACATCTTAGGAGCAGAATAATCTCTACTTATCTTCTGCACCTTGCAGATTTTCTATTAGAAGAGATCAGCTGAGAAATGAGTGTCAAGATACTAGGAAAAGACTTACTGCTTTATGGGGTTCCCCTACTTCAACTAAATTGGCTCAAAATAGCCATCCTGCTATTGATATTTAAACCAGCCAAAAGAGCTACTAATTCAGCACTTCAGGTAAATACCATGGAGGTAGCACACCTTGAGCTACACTTCTGAAATGCCTTACTAGCCTCAATATTTGATCATAGGAGGCTACTGGTGGCCTTAACTGAGTTCTTATTAGAATGCCCTGAAGCACACAGCTGCATGCATGAAATGCTATGTTTTCAAAAATAATAAGCAGCTTTTAAACTGAAAAGACTGCTGGTATTCTGAATGTAGCTGTCAATTAGTCAGTCGCAGCAATTAAAAATAAAGGATGAGAAAAGTAAGAATTAAAAAAAAAAAAATCTTAAATCCAAGCAGTAGTGCAGTGTTGAAAGTCTGGGCGTCCCTATGCACCAATGGTCCCTTTTTCTAAATACACTTCATTGTAGTGACAGTCAGGGTGTCTGGCATAGGGTACTTTGCTAATGGACTGCTAGATAAATAAACCAAAATAAACTTGATACAAAGAGAACGGGAGGAAGTTTTGTATGATTTAACTCAGCTCTTCCTATGAGCTCGTATAGATTCAAGTAGGGGGCACTTATCAATACGTACATTAGGGCCTGACCCTGCAACATGCTGAGTCCCCTTGATGAAATCTTGGCCCACAGAAATCAAATGGCCAAAAAAAATCCATTGGTTTCACTGGGGCCAGGATATCATGTCTTGCAGTCCCACTTACTTCAATAGTACTTGAGTACTCTACCTTTGGAGGATCAGGCCTTTGTTAACACTGGTACTTCCCCCCACTCCTGAGAATGCTTCAGCAAGATGTACTTATTTACCTACAGAAGTAGCAGTGAAGCTGTTCTGATGAGCAATGTTAAACATGTGCATAAGTGCTTGCAGGATCAGGGTCTGAGAGCCACACTGTAAACAGATATTCGAGTATCAGGGTTCTCAAAGGCAAACTCCTATTGGAGACAGAAGATAGGGAGCAGGAACATACATTTTGTTGGTAACAAAAATTTAAATTGATCACAACTGTGCAATTCAGTAAATCTGCCTTTTTATCACATTATGGCAGCATAGGTTATTCACAATATTTAATACATACCACCAGACACAGTGTGTCTAGAAAAGGATTTACTAATTAGAATTCAGATTGACAGGATTCTCCTGCAGTTGTAAAGATAATATATTTAATTAAATGGAGTGATTCCATTTGTGATTCCTCTCCCCTATCAAAATCTGCCTTTGTAAAAAAAAAAAAAAAAAAAAAAAAAATCCAAAACAAAAAAACATGTTTGTAACTGATAATTTTCCTAGACAATGAGCTATTTTCTGAGGTATAAATGGCTGTGTCTTAACTTCAGGCCACGATCGCAGGGCGACTCAGCTGAAGGAGAGGTACAGTGGCTCTGTGTACTATTACAGGTATGGCAATGCAAACAATCAATCTAAAAATCACTTTTTGAAGCAAATTTCTGTGATGCAGCTCTGAAATACAACCCGCATGAACTCAGGTTTCAAAAATTAAAGGGATACTGTCAAGATTTTCCCCCTTTCCACTTGCCCATATAACATCTTACTACTGAACAAAATGAATGAGCACACTGCATTTGTTTTTCCCTGGCTGTACTGGTTCTCTCTCATTTCTGCATGCAGTTTTTGCAATAAACTTAAATAAATGTAAGTTAAACCAGTGCAGTCCCTTCCTATGGAGGAATTTATACCTGTAAAAAGGTGCTTCTAGCAGTACAGTTTGTGATACTACAGTAAAACTCCAGTGGTCCAGCATCCAATGGTCTGGCACTCCTGATAGTCCGGCACCATCTGGAACCCGCAAGTGCTCTGGGCAGCCGGACAATTGGAGCTGCTCTGCCCCCGGCATCTCCGATTCAGCAGCTGCTGAAACCGACCAGTGGGTGACTCGGGGTAGCCAGGGGCAGAGCAGCTGGGGGGTACCGCCCCTCGGCACTGCTGCTCTGCCCTGGGCTTCCCGGAGTCAACCGCTGGTCAGTTTCAGCAGCAGCTGACTTGGGGAAGTCTGGGGCAGAGCAGCTGGGGTGCTGCCGGGTTGTCTCGCAGCGCCAAGGGGTGCATCCCCCCCACTCAACCCCAAACCCCTCATAGCCCCCCTTTCCAATAGTCCGGCATATCTGATAATCCAGCACCCCCTGGGTCCTAAAGGTGCTGTATTATCAGAAGTTTACTGTAATAAATGAAACAAGCTCTCTGGTAGAATTACCTCCAGACTAGAGTTGCACCGATTTAAATCGCTGCATAGATGGTGTGTAGACCCTTACAGAGTGAAACCAGAAGAGCATAATGAAATGCTGCTGTTCAATGCAGAATGTAGGGTAGACATTTTTTTAAAAGCATGAAATGAAATTTAAAACTTCTCATTTGGGGTTTTGTAATTTGCTTCCTCAGTCTAAACTTGGTTGACAATATCCTTTTAATTCATGTTTTTCTCTGTTCAGGGGCAACTTGAAGGACAAGGGGAAGCTTCACCCATCACAATTTACACTCTACTTGATATTTTAAAACAATTATTTCAACCTGATACTTTTTACACATTCAAGTCAAAACATCCTCAAAGTTGTTAGATATGCTGGGCTGTAACCATGCATGAAAATTCATGGAAGTTGAGAAAAAAAAAGTCCAATTTAAAAAATAAATTTTTTAATTATTCTTATTGGTCCCCATTATCTTCAACCAGCTTAAAGTAGTTCAATAGAACCTCACCAATTCATACCAATGACTGGGAGACCCACAACATGGTGTTTCACTTACCAACTTACATGCTTCAAATAATGCAAGTTAAGCTAGGATGATGCATTAGAAACCATGCTTGGTTCCATCTGGACGACACTTATAATTCAGCCTTTTCTTATACTTCATAACGTAATTGGCAAATGTACTGAAGCATAGTGAACAATAATGCAGTCTGGATAAGGAGACTCTGCTACCAAATTCTTTGCTGGAATGCAGACAGAGCCTGCCATTTTCTGGGATAACTATATAGTGTGGGATAGCAAGGTTCCATTGTAATGTGCATAAAAAAATACATAATAAAGAAACATCAATGTCTCCCAGAATAAGGCCACTAATTTTGCCATTGGCTATGGGCAGTGAAAAGAGAATTCTCACTCTCTTTTAGAGCTCTTTTGAGGCAAGAAACATTCGGAAGGGGAGGAAGGGAAGGAGACATGACACACTAACACACAGTCTTTTCATTTGCCAGGTTCCTCTGCTTCCTGTAAATGCTATTCCTAGGGAGAAATTTCAGTCTATTTTCTTAGCTGGGAGTCTAAGCAAATCCATACTGTATTTAAAGATGGGGACTGCACTGTAAAACAATATTACAAGTTTTCCATGAGCCATAGTCATGATAGTCTGATGTCCAGATGCCCAGATTCGATACCAGGGCCCATAGAAAGGATCCGAGATGGCTGGGCATAACATGTTGTTCAGATTCACTTCCGTGACCTGGAGACAGGGACAATGACAGGTTTATAAATCCCTTATCTTGTGTAATATTGACAGACACCCGAAACGGGGGTTTCCTAATTCCCCTAAAAATCCAAGGAATCAAGTTAATAGGATAGCAATTCTCAGTCACCTATTTTCAGCACATGGTCAATTATGCACTTAATGTATACGCAACTACTTGTGCATGGTAATTAGGGATGTAAAAGGTTGACCAGTAAGCATCACCTTAACAGTTAATCGGGGTGGGAGGGGAGGCCAGGAGGGTCTGAAGCAGTTGCCCACCCGCCGCAGGCAGGGGGCTGCTCCGGCTGCGGACAGGGACTGCTTGGGCCAGCCTGGAGTGGCCCTTGACGGTAGTGGTCCCGAAGGGTGTGCAGGCAGGGGCTGCTCTGTCCAGCTGTGGCAGGCAGGACGACCGCTCCAGCCTGGCTGGTCCCCCATTCAACCGGTTAACCAATTAAACACTATGCTTAAGCGGTTAATCAATTAAATGATAGTAACACCCCTACTGATGATCAGTAGATATTAGCATCAATTGCCCAATTCAAGCACCTCATTGCCTCAGTCTATTAGACACTCATTTGCCCCTAAACACATTGAAATTTTGTCCCAAATGTTTACTTTATGAGCAGTCACTTACCAGTCCCAGAATCTGTAAGATGCTAAAATGATAGACAAACATCAGCCCAGTGGACAACAGAGCCCACCAGAAATTGGAAAGCGGCTCCGGAGTGTAGATACCTTAAAAAAAAAAAAAGTATTAATATTGAACTGAATTGCTGTGCTCAAACAACAAACTTTTTCCTCTGCATTGGTAGCTGGGCACCTGGCTTTAGTTGATAATGTTGAAACTAACTCATGAAAATGAATACTTAAGAGAGCTGTGTTTTCCACCTGAAATACACTCATTTTTTCCCTTCAGTGTTTGGGGCTAGATATATTTTAATGTTATCATTAACTCACACTAATACTGTTTATTTTCCACTAAAATGGAATTTCTCTTGGGTTTCACTCCCAGAAGCAAACTGGGAGTGTTAACTTTACTCCATAAATATACAATCTGATTTTTCAGAGGGCCTTCAATCAGGGTATTCAAGTATTACGCCCACAGGAAGCAGGTGTTACCACTTTGCCCAGTTTATTCTGCAGCCTGAATATAGCTAAATAAACAAATTACCATGTTATGACGTATAAAATCGCTGCAATAGCAATTACACTGAATGTGTGTGCCTGTTACTGAATTATCTCATGATAACCATGCAGTTAACTTGCACCATCCCCTCATTGTCCATTGTTGCCAGGCATCCAGTTTTCAACCAGAACACCTGGTTGAAAAGGGATCCTGGCAGCTCTGATCAGCGCTGTTGGTTGGGCCACTACAAGTTCAGTCAGCAGCACAGTGGAGCTATGGCAGCACACACAGCCCCGAGCCCCTCCACCTATGAGCTGTGCATGCTGGTCACTTCCAGATGTCACCTGAAGAAGGTGCCACCCAGTCAGAGCCTGTTCCCTTCATGCCCTCCTGAACCCCTCTCCCTCTGTCCCATTTCAGACCCCCCTCCCAGAGTGATGCAACACATGAGGTACCCCAACCCCGAGTCCTCTCCCCAACCCCCCTGCCCTAGCTCTGAGCTCACTCCTGCACCACAGAGCCCACACCCCAACCTCCTGCCCTACCGCGCTGAAAATGAGTAAGGGTAGGGAAGAGCAAGCGACAGAGGGAGGGAATGGAGAGAGCAGGGGCAGGGCCTTGAAGAAAGGGTGGAGCAAGGGTGTTTGGTTTTGTGCGATTAGAAAGTAGGCAACCCTATCTCTGTCACGTATGCCAACTAATAAGAGGCTGCACTTTAGAGATGGGAAAGACTGCAGAAGTGTGTCCGCCACACAGAATTTATCTCCACTGGAGAAACAAGTAGCTACACGTGGAGCAGGATCACGTCTATTGAAAAGGTGCCATTTCCCTAATAGTGCATGTCTCTCATACCTCTGAAGCAGAGTCCTATGGCAGTTAAGCATGGTGTAACATGATTTAAAATCTACAGCAGTGGCAGGCCACCTGGGACACATCGAGGTTCTATGTGTAGCCCAAGAGACATTTTGTTTACTCTTGTCCATGTGCAGGGTTGCCAGATTCCACTGGTTGCCATCTGTGTAGGTTTTTTTCCTATTGGTATTACTAACGTGACACACACATAAAGCATGGACATGTAATAGACTCCTTGTGTGTTGATTGCACACAACATACACTATGAGAGCCATGCACGCTCTCTGCATCCAACCAAAACACTGTTCAATCAGCACATCCAGCACATTTTAAGTATGCAGTTAGCAAAATACCCTATCCCAGAGACTGTCTTGCAATCCACTGAGATGGAGGAGGGCCACTCATGCGGCCTACTCACTAGCCTAGGATGCCCATCACAGATTTACAGGATAGGAAAGCCTCTGGGAGTTCTCATTAAAGCATTCCAGGGCACGTGCATCTGATTTTTTTCATTCATACTCACCAGCTATACTATAGTGAGAACAGAAAGAGAATTAATGTGGTTTCCAAACTTTCCAACTTTCAACATTTTACTAAAATAAAATAAAAAATACCACAAAAAAATACAAACTGAATTTTTTTAGCTTCCTGTTTACATTTCTATTAAGTAAAAATATACATTGGCATGATATTACAGAGGCAGCACAGCATCCACACAGAGTTACCAGAGGATTATTGACCAGCATCCAGCTCAATTAGCAAGTACCAAACTAAACAACGCAGCAGAAAAAAAAAAGTCTACTGTTTCTCCCCTCACCCCAATAATTCCTTTAAAAAAAAAAGTGCCATGAACATATAGCATCTTCTCCAACGTGTTCTAATCACCTACACACTGCTTTCGTGTATGTCAATCCTCACTGCCATTTTACAATTCTTTTGTGAATTGATTTCTACCATTAATTTTATCCATTATGCAGGGGTGGGTTCAGACTCCTGTGGTAAAATACCTCTAACATCAGGTTCATCTGAAACTTACACCACCTCCTCAACATTACATTATTGACTATTTTGTCCAAGAAGCAAAATCAATTTCAATTCTGCATCTTGGCTTAATGAATTGGATGTGGCTACATGGATTCTGGGGCAGGGAAGCTGCTTTCAAAGCATTAGGCAGTTTCTAAGGTTTCTTATCCAGTGTGTGGTTGAAGGTCACAGCAGCCTAGGAAGCATCTGAACAGCAGAGTGTCAAGCTACAATCGGAATCCAAAATTAAAAAGTAAACTCTGCTTGCAAAGCTTGGTGGTGGAGTCCTCTATGGTTAAAGAGGGAGATCAACAGACCTCTAATGCCACTAAATTCACACAGAAAAGGGAGGAATCCAAGTATGAGTAGCTTAAAAGCTGAATACTGCTGCATTTAAAAATTCATGCAGGATGATTTACTAGAACAGTGATATTCATTGGAACCTAGCACTTAGCAATGTCTAGACAGTAGGTGTACAATTAAACTTGGTCAGCACACCACACTCCACTGCAGAGAGACGAGAAAGCAACTAATCTTGGTGTCAAAGCTCAATAGCGGGAGTCAGGCAACCAGAAGTCTGGGCTTGGCCCTACCATCAACTTGGCCAAGTCACAATCTTTCTATGCTTAATGGACAAAAATATCATTTGCCTCAAAGCTTTTGAGAGGATTGTGTTTATGTCTCTACAGTGTTTTGGTTCCATATCTTACCGGTAGACAAGAAGTGTAGTACTTTATTGAAATCCCTGCCTTGACAATAACCTTATCTAAATAAATTGCCATTTAAAGCAAATCTGAGGAGCCTATGGAGTAACACTGCCATCACCTGGGTCAGCAGAGCTGCCCTTTGCGGGTTTTCCATTTCAGAAATGCTCTGTAAACCTTAGGAAAAGGTATCTTAAAATGAATAGAGATGACACTTAGATTCTAAATCCAGAAACAAAACTGTCACTATGTCCCAGAGATCTGCTTCTGTTAACCTAACATTTATAACTTCTTTGGGCATAGAGACCACAGCCATGCTTCTGCAAACCATAAAACCTGCTCTGAAGGTTTGCAATCTACACAGACAATTTGGAGGGAAAGCATAGGCATTAAGTGAAATGATTTGCCCAAGGTCACAGGAGATAACTGGCACAGGGTGATAAAACCCCTGTTTTTCTGGGTCCCAGTCCAGTGTTTTGTCCACTTGACTATGCTTCAACAGCACTTTAGGAGGGTTGTTCTACTCCATCTAACAGTTTTCTACTGCTCCATCAGTGCCTACTATTGTGCAAACCAAAGCAATGCAGTAGTGATTATTGGCCTCTAATCAACTGCAGACCAGCTCTATCCAAACAGTCATAAATTCTCCTTGCACAGCCCTAACATAGCATTTGCCCACATCTAATTAGCCAGTTTTGCTGCACTGAAAAGCATGGTTGGCAGCCACTGCCCAGGCATTGAGGAAGAAAGCAGCTGGGATTCTCCATGTGGAAACATTTTAGAAAGCTCTTGAACAAGTATGGGATAGTAATTTTCACAGAATAGAGCTGGAAGAGACTTCAGGAGGTCATCAAGTCCAGCTCCCTGCCCAAGGCAGGACCAATCCCAACTAAATCAACCCAGACAAGGCTTTGTCAAGCCGAGACTTAAACACCTCTAGGGATGGAGATTCCACCACCTCCCTAGGTAACCCATTCCAGTGCTTCACCGCCCTCCTAGTAAAATAGTTTTTCCTAATATCCAACCTAGAACTCCCCCACTGTAACCTGAGACCACTGCTCCTTGTTCTGCCATACGTCACTACTGTGAACAGCCTCTTTGGAATCTCCCTTCAGGAAGCTGAAGCCTGCTATCAAATCCCTCTTCACTCTTCTCTTCTGCAGACTAAACAAACCCAAATCCCTCAGTCTCTCTTCATAGGTCATTCGCTCTAGCCCCCTAATCATTTTGGTCTCCCTCCACAGGGCCCTCTCCAATGCGTCCACATCCTTTCTATAGTGGGAGGCCCAGAACTGGACGTAGTATTCCAGATGTGGCCTCACCAGAGCCGAATAAAGGGGAATAATCACTTCTCTGGATCTGCTGGCAATGCTCCTCCTAATGCACCCTAATATGCCATTAGATTTCTTGGCTACAAGGACACACTGTTGACTCATATCCAGCTTCTCATCCACTGTAATCCGCAGGTCTTTTTCTGCAGAACTGCTACATAGCCATTCAGTCCCCAGCCTGTAACAATGCTTGGGATTCTTCCATCCCAAGTGCAGGACTCTGCACTTTTCCTTGTTGAACCTTATCAGATTTCTTTTGGCCCAATCCTCTAATCTGTCCAGGTCACTCTGGGCCCTATCACTGCCCTCCAGCGTATCTACCTTTTCCCCCTAGCTTTGTGTCATCAGCAAACTTCCTGAGGGTGTAATCCATCCCCTCAGCCAGGTCATTAATAAAGATGTTGAACAAAACTGGTCCAAGAACTGATCCTTGGGGCACTCTGCTAGAAACCGACCGTCAACCTGACATCAAGCCGTTGGGCCCAACGGGTAGTGATCGACAGTCTAGCCAGCTTTCTATCCATCTTACAGTCCATTTATCCAATCCATACTCCCTTAACTTGCTGTCAAGAATATTGTGGGAGACAGTATCAAAACCTTTGCTAAAGTCAAGGTATATCACATCCACTGACTTTCCCATGTCCACAGAGCCAGTTACCTCATCATAGAAGCTAATCAGATTGGTCAGGCACGACTTGC